AAAGGATTTTGTAAAAAAAAATTTTCAATTGACATATTCATGATATTAAAAGTAAAAGTTTTTAGTAATTAAAAAATAAAAAAAAATCATTATGGCTAAACTAATTATCCGATTCCAACGATTTAACTAGCGTTGGAATCTTGTTTTGACATAGATTCTTTGTTGTTTTTTTCAATTGTACAATTTTCATTTAGGTCGATTTTTTTTTGTTTTTTTTTATAACAAATTCGGAAATAATTGGCTTCTGCGCCAGCTATCGACTCGAAAAAAAAAACACATATACTCCAATCATTTTTCGAAATTATGCTGCTGAGAAAAAAAATGGCATGTCAAAACAAGATTCCAACGCTAGTTAAATCGTTGGAATCGGATAATTAGTTTAGCCATAATGATTTTTTTTTATTTTTTAATTACTAAAAACTTTTACTTTTAATATCATGAATATGTCAATTGAAAATTTTTTTTTTACAAAATCCTTTAGGATTTGTGTTAGTGATGTAAAATACTATCGAAAAAATGTATCTACAATCAAAAACTAATTTTGACCTAATTCAGGTGGCCCGTTTGAGAAATTCTGACCCAGTTACCATTAGCCCTTCCCGGTGGGGCACGAATTGAGGACCATGGTCCATGGTCCATGGTGCACCATTAAATAAATTTCAGGAAATGCTGATTTTTTTTTAAATCACCTAAATTTTGTTCTCATTCAATGGAAATACTGGAATAAATATATTATCGAAACCTCGAAAAATGCTCACTCCGAAAAACTTGGGGGTATGTGTCACCCCCTATACCCCCATCGCTACGTCCCTGACTGCAGTTCGGAGAGGACAACGATTTTGTGAACCATAAATAAAAATAATTTCAGCCGTTGTGAAAACCATTTCGGAAAACAAACAATACCATTTAAGGTATACCTATACGACAACTATAGTTGTCGTGGTACAATATTGTCAAAAAAATTTAGATTATACGCACCATAAAAGTATACGAGCTTGTAGCTAAGTGATTCATAATTTTTTCGCAAGACTGTACCCTTGGAGACGTTACCTATACGTAATACTTTCACATATTTTCATAAATTTTAATCCGGCAACGTCGCTTATGCGCAACCAATAGATATATTGGAGACTGAATCAGTCTGTTTGAATTTACTTGCGTACAGCGTTGCCAAGTTATTTTTATCTAACTTGTTGTTTTTATCTGGTTTTACAAATTGTTGAACTTTAAACGGTAATTTATAAACAACTGGACGGTCAAAAAAAAATTTTTTTTAACTCAGTAAAAATACATTAAAAGACTTAATAAGTATACAAAAATTTAAAAATTTCTGATGGTATGCCTACAGCACGACAACTACCTTAATAGTAGAATGTATTATAAACGCCATTTTAGTTTAGTTTAATTAATAAAAACGAGTGTCTAGACAAGTTTCTAAACGAATTGCATACTTTATCTACGACGAACACAAAACATAATTTAAACCCAATGTTATTTGTTAAAACTTTCAGCCATGGACTAAAACGCCACACTCGTCAATGTAGGAGTAAATAAAATATTAAAAACCAAACACCATAAATAGCAATCTTTTTTGTAAACTTTTATAAACCTGACAAAAAAATCCACTAGAAACATACACATTCTATTAAGCATTTAAATTGTTTAATAATGCCAATCCATTCCGCGGCAAACATTTAAAAATAATATTTTAAAATAGACTAAAATTGCTTAGTAAAATCATTTACTTATGGCCCATGGGAGTGATTTTGGAATTTGTTTGGAATTTATGATTTTTTGTTTATTTAATTTTATTAGAATTATCTTATTTTCTCCGGTTTTTCATTAATGTTTTACTACCCTATTTGTAACAAAATGCTTTAATTTGATATTTGTAACGTGAAATTTAAATAAATAACCATAAAAAATATATTTTGCGTACTTGTAAAAAATTAGACGATTATAAAGTATTAATCTTGTTTAATATTGTTAAATAGAAACTTTCAAGAGCTTTTCAATAAGGCATCACAAAGGGGATGTTGCCATTTAAAAAGATTTAGTTGTAGTGGCTACAGCCCCAGGGGTTGCTTAGTGAAGGTAATTTTTCCTAAGAAAGGGTTTTAAGAAATTTTAATATAACTATAACAAAACAAAAATACAACTGCCAGCATATTACCTAGCTTTACCCAAACAATTTATATCACAAATAAATATAATCCTTCAAATTCGAATGTTCCTGCTAAATCGCGATGCAAATCCACATTAAACAAACATTTAAACAAACAAACAAACGTGCATGTAGACAAGCACGTAAATAATAAATAAACAACAGCTATATTCTAGCTTTTGTGATTTTACATAAAATAAAATTGATCCGTCACTTAAAAATCAGGGATTTTTACAACCAATAAAATATTTATTTATTGCCTACATTTAAAATTTAAACTGCCATTAAATGCGTTATTTTATTTACATAAAACTGTAAAGTTAATAAACGTGAAAACTTTTACGGCGTGTAATAAAATGATTTTGTGAAATTACCTTTACAACAATAAATAAATGTGCTATATACACGAACAATTAATATTAATTTCAGATAACGGTCTTTACTCACAAAAACTAAGATCTAAATGGGCTTAATACCGAACCTTGAGGAACGCTTTTATAAATGCGACAACGTTGATAAATCGTTTAAATTTTATGTTTGGCGTGTCTAATTGAAAAACCATTAAATCATGGTTTTAAATTACGTAAAAAATTAATAAAGCAAACCTTTCAAAATCAATTTGTCGGCGGTTAGAAGTTATGGGAACCGTTATTAATCAATAGAGCGCAATTTACATCGCAACGGCCATGATATTAATGTTTTGACGGCCTGTCAAAGTTAAAATTAATACACGGTTTTCACATAACTTTCCACTAAATAAATATGAGATGATGAGATAATTTTCTTTTGTTGCTTTATTGAAAAGGAATATTTAGACATTCATGCAACAAAAGTATGTTTCTATGTCGAATATTTGAGATTAAACAAATCATGTTTTCCAATTTTGTCTATATGTATATTATTTATATTGAACGGAGTTGAACAGTTGATGTAAATTAAGGTATGTCGAGGGCAAAGAGCTTTAAAAGGGAGGAAGGAGTGTTTCGGCTTTCTGGTTTAAGTAGAGAGTTTGATGCGTCGCAAATGCTTCGGAGATTAAAGGTTTTCATTGCTCTAATAACACACCGCTGCCGCAGAAAGCTGTAGCGAGAGAGATTATCTCTTGGGGGAATGCTAGTCGCTCGTTTTCTGTGTGGCAACTTGTATGTAATGTTGGTTAACTTCGGCTTGACCGCGGATCCTTAGATTTCGGAAAATTTTTAAAAAACAAACTTCAATGATATAGCGTATAAATATCAATAGGGGCCTTAATGAATAGAATTTAATGGGATTTATAGACATCACGAAATTAATTAAAAAAAGGTGGCGTAGAGTCGTGTCTAAGCATCCTCTTGGCCGCAACTTTCATACACCCTTCCTCTGTATTTTTCCTCTTTACTCTTTGTAAGAAAAGGCGAGCAAAAACTTAAAAATTAAGGGCTTTGTAAGTAGAGGACAGGAGATTGTCAGGATGCTGCAATGTTACTACCCGTACTATGAAGATCTTTTTCAGGGAGGCTTTAGAGGTGGGACTACATATCCACGCGCCTTTTTACAGCCAACCACATCACCACATTGCGGCTTTATGTACAATGTTTCTTTTTTATATTATTCAAAATTTGACCATTTCATTTTTGACTAATTCATTTTAGGAGAGAAGATATCAGGGAAATTACATCTTATTTTCTTAGACTTTTATTTAATATCTTCACGAAATTGGAAAATATACTTTTATTGATAGGGCCAAGTTTTCCTAGATAGGCCAGGATTTTTTTCATTTCAAAATTTTGGGATATTCAAGGCATTCTAAAACACTTTTAGGACGTTAAGACTAGAGATGTAAAAAAACGGTTTTTTTGTTTTTTTTTCAAATCCGCTGCAATAAAGCATATTCTGTCAATAAATAATATCACTCTTAAAAAATTGAGTAATTTTTCAAAATGAAATTTTGAGTAAAATGTATATTAATAATAAAGTGAAATGTAGAATATATTACATTTTTCATTATTGAAAATTTTGACTGAGACTAAAAAATCTGATTTCTCATTATTTGGTAGTTTCCACATAAGAAACCAATAGCAATGTAAAACTTCTACACTAAGAGAAAAAATCGAGGAAAAAATTAAAGGATAAAAATTTTTTTTTGCGATTTTTCGGATAGCTATATTTTCTTTAAAAATGGTCGTATTGGACCCGTAAAAAAAGCAATTTGAAACTTGAAGTTTCTAGTTCTTAGATTTTTAGATGAAAAACGTGCCACGCTCAATCCTAACGAATACCGTGATAAAATATTCGAATTTTTTTTGGCTTTCTTTCTTGGTTCACGGAATGTTCTTAACCACCAATAAATAAATGTTCTACAAGAATTTGCTATTATTTTTTTGAAGAAAAAAAAATGTCCATAGTCTACATGAATTTGAAAAATCATGCTTTTGGTAGCTTTTTGAAAAAGCAAGCGCTGAGTCAAAAATATTATGGGTAGTTACTTTTTTTAGGACCAAATCAAAACATTATTATTATTATTATTATTGGTCAATTCGGTGGTGGTGGCGCGTGCAAAGCGCGAGACTGTATTTACATTTACTAAATGTCATTTAGTGGCCAATTTTAGCCCACAAACTAGACTGGAAACATAAAAAATTAGGCAAATGGGATTAATCTTGAAAAAAACCATTTGAATAAAACAATGAAAAAAAAAACTGAAAAAAAGCAAAAAAAAACGGACCGTTTTTTTTTAAGTCGCATCTTTAGTTAAGACTGTTCCGGTGGAGTTTAAGGACATTTTAAACATTTTGAATTAATAAGAAACGTTAAATATGTATATGACAAACGGTTTTTTATTATTTATTTATTTTAGGACACCGCCGACGTGTGTGTAGGAACTAGTGTCGGGACTATCACAGAGCCAGAATGTCTAGGGCCGTGCGAACCAGGAACCAGCGTTACTCTGGAAGGGATAGTCTGGCACGAGACAGAAGGAGGTAGGCACCATTTTGCAATAAACATACAAATAAATCGCTTGCTTTAAAGGGTATTTCAGAAAATAAATTTGAAACTATGTGGACAGTAGGGTGCTTCAAAAAAAAAATATTTTTTTTCTCTCTTACCCTCTCAAATGTTTCTATTTAATATAAAAAAAATCCTCACCAAATATGGGCGTTCCAGCTCAACTCTAAGAGGTCGCTTTTTTATTTTAGTTTCCGATTTAATTAACATGGGAAAAAAAAAAATTATATTTGGAATTTTATACCTCTGTATCAAAGTAACTTATGGCAATGATTATTGCAGTTTCTTATATAAAATTTAACGCTCTACAAAAAAGGTCTCTTAATATTTTTCGATAAATTGATTTCTCCTAGTGTTATTCGAGGTCAAAGTTTGATTAACATCAAATTTTCTGTTTTTTTTTTAATTTTATGGTACAATTAGCAGACGGGAGGTGAAAGGGGGCAAAACAAGGCAGCCGGGGGGCAAAATTGGGTACCCAAAAAATTTCGTAAAATTTTTTTTAAGATTGTTTTTTTCTGTTTCTAAATTATTTGAAAATATATTGACAAGTTCACGAAAATAATTATTCTGAGCCTGTAGAGCGAGAAAAAGGAAAGTACAAATTTGGAAAACTTTTCATATGCTCATTTTTTGGGTACCCCATTTTGACCCCCCCCCCGTTCCCTTGTTTTGCCCCCTTTCACCTCCTGTCTGCAAATTGTAAAATAAAATTTAAAAAAAAAATTTGATCTGAATCAAACTTTGACCTCGAATAACTCTAAAAGAAATCAATTTATCGAAAAATAACAAGAGACCTTTTTTGTAGAGCGTTACATTTTATATAAGAAACTGCAATGATCATTGCCATAAGTTACTTTGATACAGAGGTATAAAATTCTAAACATAAAATTATTTTTTCCCATGTTAATTAAATGGGAAACTAAAATAAAAACAGCGACCTCTTAGAGTTGAGCTGGAGCCCCAGGATTTTTTTATATTAAATAGAAACATTTAAGAGGGTAATTTTTTTTTAAGCAACCTAGTGGAGAGGGACAAGGGAAACCAAGTTTGACTGAATTTAAAGTTTTGATTAAATTTATTATTAACTTTTGCTCGTTTCGGTGTGTTTTGTAGGAGTTCTAGTCGTGAACGTGACGTGGAGGGGCAAAACCTACGTGGGAACTTTACTGGACTGCACGAAACACGACTGGGCCCCACCTAGGTGAGATACATTCCAAAAAATTTTACCATTTTGCTTTTTGCATCCTATAGATAAAAACTAGACCACTATTTATTTATTTTTTCTCCCAGTTTTACTAGATTAATTATGTTATTTAATAACACTTAAAAATGTAACATTACATACAGAATGATCCACAACTTTTATGCCATATTTTGAGGCCTTTCTTTTTGCCCTAAAAATACGACGTAAAAGTTGTATTTAAAAGTATTTTTTAGGTAGGTAATTTTGTACTTTTTACGTTTTTGCAATTGTTACCAAATAATGTTCGTTTCCTATTAAACGCGAGCAAAAATGCATGTGGTTTATTAATTTTATAGTTGTTACATTTGTTTGTATGTTTTATTTTATATAATTAAATAAATATATTTTGTTAAATTTTTACTATGATTTTTATTTATTGATTTGTAAATAATTGTTCAAATTTATTTATTTAAAAGGTTTGTATAACAAATTTATTTATTTACGTGTACAGTGCACCAACACAACAAATCTTTAAATAATAATTAGGGATCATAAATTTAATTATTACACACAATGTAGTAGAGCATGGTAATGAGTTAGAACTTTTTAGTGTAATAGCGGTAGTTTGGGAACTTAGTTTACTTAATAGGGATATTAATGTTAACAGAGTTACATAATCCTTACTTTTGGTTTATTGTTTAATTTTCCATATAATAATTAATAAGCAACCCAAAACCACAGTATTATACAGCAGAATCACTCTTAAGATTCAAATACACCATTGGGAATATTTTGGACGCATCAGGACATTAAGACTAAAAATTGTGATTGGGATTACGACTACGATTAGTTTTAATGACTATGGTTTATGTGATAAGACCGTTTTAAGATAATCGCGTTGTTGCCTAACTTGTACGAAATAAATTTTGCCTTATTGACATTATAATGGCGAGAAGTGGCCATTGTAAAACCGGAAAATGTGAGGGAATTTATTTGGTTACGGAAAGTCAGGGAACTATTACTGATTCAATGACGGAACGAAATGTATGGCACGCCGTTTTAGCATTTATTAGATAATAGTTTGAAGATTAAAATTTAGCACTTTAATAATGTTTTAACAGAAATTTACATAGTTGTTTTTTTTTAACTCAAAACAATTGATAGTCAAACATTTTTTTAAATATAAAATACAAACTTTGAGCTCAAAAATATTGATTTTTAAAAATTTTAGTTTAAATATTTTATTCTAAAAAAATTTTCGGTTTTAATTTGTAAAGAGTCATTTAAATGATTTAGTCGATAATTTTTAATACAAAAATTCTCACATTACATTTGAATGTAAGTTTTAAATTTTTAAGTGGTAATTTTTGGATTAAAAATTTATCGACTATCATTTAAATGACTACAAATTCAAACCAAAACTTTTAATTTTTAACAATTTTAAATAAATACATTTTTAACACAAAATTTATAACTTTACATTTAAATGTAAGTCGATAATTTTTAATTTATAAAGTGTGAACGTAGCTTTAGCAGACGGCGTGCGATGTCTCTTTCTAGAGTGGTAGATTTTAAGCATAGTCCATAGTCGTTGAATCGTACAAATCGCGAATGTTTCAATTTAAATTTTTCAAAAATAAAAGAGTCATTTAAATGATAGTCGATAAGTTTTTAATCCAAAAATTACGACTTTAAAATTTAAACCTAGCATTTAAATGTAATGTGAGAATTTTTGTATTAAAAATTTATCGACTATCATTTAAATGACTCTTTACAAATTTAAACCAATAATTTTGAAGAATAAAATATTAAACTGCAATTTTTAAAAACTCAAACTTTTTTGCATTTTATATTTAAAATATTTTTTGATTATCAATAGTTTTGAGATTAAAAAAATTTTACTTTTAGTAGAAAATGTTTTATATGTGTTTTTATTTTAAATGTCTTTACACTATTTTTAAATACTAAAAAATTTAACTTTACCAATTAATTTTATAAATAAATTATTTAGAATTTACAAAATTCTGCCCAAATAAATTATACTTAAGGAATTATTTTTATTAAAAAATGAAAGATTGGAAATAATATTGTTTAATACAGAAGTGAACCTAAAATTTTAATTTAAAAAATTATTTAATAAATGTTAAAACGGCGTGCCATAGAAAACACATGGAATTTATTATATTAAACTGTTTCTTTAATCTCAACATTGAATCAAGTTACACCTCCAAGAAAATGATTCAATTAAATTCATTTTAACCCACATCAACTGGGGGGATTTTTAAAAATCACTGTAAATTTGGTTAAAAAATCTGACCAGCTTGCAAGAGCGTGGATCTACTGTATAATATTGTGCCAAAGCGATATGAAGAAGTGTGGTTATATAAAGAGATTGACTGAACGGTGATTTTAATTGTGGTTTTCTCTGGTGTTGTTTGCGCAGGTTTTGCGACTCACCGACCAGCGACCTGGACAACAGAACCCCGAAGGGTAGAGGTAAGAGAGGGCGTTCAGCTAGCAACCTAACAGCACCTAGCACTGACCTAAGCAACTTCACAGAAACCCGCTCATCAGTGCACAGCAAGCTGAGAAACGGCGGCGCGGCCGGCACCCCCGCGGCCACCGGCGGCGCCAAAGGACGACGCAACGGCGGAACCGGACAGAACACTGCCCCGTCCAGCCCGGCGCCTTTCATACCTCCACGACCGGACAACAAGCGGAAGAGCAGAGTCGGCGAGGAGGACGTTCAGTCGAGTCCGACGCCCGGCGGGAAAAAGACCAAGGTCACCATCCCTCCGCCACTTCCGATCCCCGTCATCCCACCGAATCCCGCTCCCTGCGGCAGCCCGCCCCCGAGTCCGGTGCTCCTCGAGTGCCCAGAACCGAACTGCTCCAAGAAGTACAAGCATATCAACGGTTTGAAATACCACCAGTCGCACGCGCACGGTTCGACTGCTGAAGACGAGGACGCCAAAGACGTCACCTCGATGTCCGAAAACGACGAGAGCAACATCGAGGCCCCGTCGCCCGCCACCCCCGTTAAATCGCCGGAAAAAGCCGAAAGCTCTCCCGTGACTCCCATAAAGAAAGAGGCCACTCCATTGTTGGAGGTTCCGAGCAGGCCTACGACGCCGAGGAGCGCTCCCCCTTCCCCCGCAACTCCCCAAAGCGTACCGGACGTTGGTCGGACTGCTGCAGGCTCGCCAACCGTGGTCGTGCCCCCCGTGGAATCCTCCAAAAATAACGTTGTCAAGCCCGGAGTGCTCAGATACGCAGAAGATTATCAGGGGATCTTTCCTGCCGGAAACAAACCCCAAATACCTGGTAAGTTTCATACCTACTTTATTACCCTAATTCGTTTATTTTTTTATTTTTACTATCATTTCATTTTAAGATTTAGGTTTGATTTTGAACAGGTAAACTTTTTATTTCAATCAGATTATTTTGTAGTTAGATTGTAGAAGTAGCAATTTGTAGAACTACGAATGCAATTGTTTGTATTCTAATATTATAAAGTTTATTCATTAAACAGACCTTGTAAATAAAAATACAATCACGCACTATGCACGTGATTGTTACAAAATATATTTATATATATTTATCACCACCATATTTTGTTTTTCCCATGGCCGCCATATTGGAATTTTACATGGTTAAATAAAAAAATCAAGGAATCCAACGATGTATCAAAATACATAAGTTATGACGGCCATTATAAAAACAAAAGATGGTGTTGGTAAGTTACCAACACCATCTTTTGTTTTTACCCAATGTTTTGAGTTACCAATGGTAACTTAAAACATTGGATAAAAATGCAGATTAATGTGAGTAAAACTTACTTTGTTTAAAAATTTCCTTAATTAGGCAACTTTTTTTCTAATTTAACCGACCGTGTAGCTCTTTAAATAAAAAAAATACCAATAGAGTACACATAGAACGATACTTGGTGCAGGGTTTATTCTACAGTATACATATATAATAATGTAACATTATATTATACAGGGTGTCACCAAATAAGTTGTCATCCTATCATTTTTGCCTTAGTGCAATTTTTATAAGCAAAGTCAAAATTTTGGGCCGCCACTGGTTGTTCCTGACCCAAGCCTCAAAATCTCTTTTCAGAGTGGGCAATAATCTACAAAAATTTACATTTGTGTTATCATTGATTACTTTGTTGATTGTTTTTGTTTTGCATACTCAGCTATTTTTAGGTAGGTACTTTGAATAAAACAATACATACTTTTTATTGTTAGGTATCTCGAGGTTTCCGTAGTTTTCCGGTCGATTTAAAATTTCACCTTTTCATTTTTTTAAGTTTTCCACACAAAATCATAATAACCGAACTGTCAGTAATCAATGATAACAAAGTACCTACTAACCGATTTTGCTTGATATTACATAAATCTAAGTTTTTAATGAATGTCGCCCTTCTGTTTCTTTTTTGCTTGGATGAATAATATCATTGTTTTTAGAGGTAAAAACAATAATGATATAAAGGATAGGTGACCTATCATAGGTCAGTGACATTCAGTGTCTCCCTGGTTTTTTCATAATTTTTTAATTAAATAAAAGTAGCAAAAATGATAAAGGAAAAACTTTCTTGTTTGGGCGTGTACTTTCATCCCCCCAAATGATGAAAATTTATTAGGTGACACCCTGTATAATATCGATATTATATAATATCTAAAATAACACAAAATTCATTCATTATTATATGCTTATGATTTTGGACGGCTGGGATTCCCGGGCTATAAACTAATGACCTGGTTTGTTTTGCCAACATCCCTACATTGCAGACAGTATTTTGTGTTAATAAATTTAATTACTATATTTATTAAAAATTTGAATGATTGTTTTCTTACTTTTTTTGTTCATTTTAATAATTTGCTATTATGGATCTCATTTCTTACTGTTTTTGGCAAGCCGAAAAGGATTGTACTTTACTCGGCCAAGTAATGAATATAAGACCGAGCACCTAGTACTCATTAGTCGGTAAAAATTCTGGCCGAGCACCGAATAGTAGTTTTTTATTATACATCTTATACAAGTAGTTTTTTTTAAATCTTATATAAAAACTAAACACGAATTTAATTAAATTTCACTTCCGCTCACATGTATTTTTTATTTACTCTATCTATTAAATGAACAGGCTTTAGGAGATTTATAATTTACTATAATACTTGTCCATTATCAATTTCCTATAAATTTCATAGGACAGAGTTCTTTTAAAGTATTTTAAAAGAGCACTGTTGCAAAACTGGTATTAACATGAAACTAACTTGGTTCTAGGCTCGCCTATAACCAATTCGGGTTCGATATCGGCGGTTATCCGCTCCGCCGCCAATCCGCCTCTACCTCTACCTACAGAATCACAGACTGAAAACAACTCAGGTGGTGCGGCCCCCGTTCCTCAGCAGCCGGTGGCGGCATCGCCGCAGCAGCAACCTCTGCCCCCTCAACCGCCGCCGTCGTTTTCCAATCCACCGCCACAGCAAGGGTTCAGCCAACCCCCTTCGAGCCTCATCATCCCCTCTCAGATCCCTCAGAATCCGCCGCAATCGCCGCAGAGTCCCAAGCAACAGTTCAAAGTTAAGCCGGCAGCTGCTTTGATGCCCGAAGACAAAAGCAAATTGCAACCGTTGAACGTAATAAACGGAAGTCCGAATGTGCCCGGTGGCGGTAAAGTGCAGAGCTTTAAGAAGAAGAATCGCAGCAAATCGCCTCTAACCACATCAGAGCAACCCGTTTTTGGTGTGGATCCTCAACAACCCGCAGGAGGGCGCGATGAAGTTCAAAGCCCCGCCTACTCGGATATATCCGACGACGGTGCTCCGGTCATCGAAACCGTTGAGGACAAGGCGAAGAACCCCGCGGACAAAAAGGAACCCCACATACCGAACTACGGTATGTACCAGTTCTACGGCCAGCCGCACCAGTACCTCAAGGAGCAAGACAAACAACAACAACAACAACAAGGTGAGAAAGACAATAAAGCAATTGCTGGAGGGGATATTAACAATAAAGACAAAGTAGACTATCCCCAACAACAACAACAACAGCAGCAAAAAGTTCTGCCGCCACATTATTATCAATACGGTTACATGGCAGGGTACCCCTCGTACATGGAGCCTCAATACGGCGGCCAAGGGGAGCAAGATATCAAGGAGGAGCGGGTAAAAGAGTCGCCCAGTCCGATCGAGCACATCAAACAGCCGGCCCCCATCGCCAACGTGATACAAGTACCGACGCCCGGTAAAGTCAAGGAGGTTTCCGTTAAAAACGAGAATCATCAGATTCTGAAGGAGAGCATCGATCTAAAAAACCAGATGAACCCGTATTTGTACTCGCGGCAGCAACAGCAGCAGCAGCAGCAGCAACAGCAGAGGGAGGAGGATGTACGGAGGTTTTACGTGTACGATCAGAGGCGAAAAGAGGAACCTCAACAGCATAAGAGTAGTAATAAGGTAATAACGCAATCGCCTAGTGTGAAGCTAAAAGAGCCCAAACTGGAAGACAAGAAAGAAAAGGAGGTGAAACAGGAGGGCGTGAAACCCACGATGGAAACTCAAGGGCCCCCACCGCCCCCTACTTCTCAGTACGCATACATCCACCCGGGGTACATGCAATCCCCCCATTACGGAGCGCTACCTTTCGACCCCAATATGTACCGAGGTATAATGGTACCGGGGCATTACGGCAACACGCCGTATTTGCACCCGCACCCGCAAATGCCGCGGTACCACGCCCCTGAGGATTTGTCTCGGGGTCCGGGCGGTCCGGGCGCCAAAGCCCTGGACATGCTGCAACACCATGCGGCGGCGGCGCAGTACTACACCTCGCACAAGATCCACGAGTTGCAGGAGCGCGCAATAAAATCCCCGACTCCCAGCGGCAAAGCCTCGGCTGCCGGCGCTTCGAGTCCAGCCGCTTTGCCGCCGACGGGGGGCGGGCTGCAGGGCAGCAGGGAGCAGCAGCCGCCGCCGCCGACATCGCAGCAGCAGAATTCTCAGAATCCTCGGGAGCAGCAGCAAACGCAGGGTGGCGGCGGCGGCGGCAAGCAGACCGCCAATCCCGGTGACGGGAAGGAGGCGAGGAGCCCGCCTCCGCAGAGGCACGTGCACACGCATCACCACACGCACGTGGGCCTCGGGTATCCCATGTACCCCGCACCATATGGAGGTTAGTTTATAAACTTTTTTCATGCTTATGTAATCTTAAAATATGTTCACGATCTTTCTGGTCTAAGTCAAATATTCTTTAGAATTGTTTATACAAAGTTTAATCGAAAATATTTTATTTTACTTTCATTTATATGTCTGTAAAGTTTTCAAAAATTCGAAGCTCTGACTTTTAAATTTTTTTCATTTAAATAAATCCGTATCAAATTTCACGAAGTTGTACATAATTTGGCATACAAAAACATATCTGAGAAATATCGGAAAATGTTGAAAATTTATTCAGTTGTGTATCGAAAAAACCGTCTTTTTGGGCAAATCTCTTTTACTTTAGTCAATCTTTGTTCTTTTCCGTTGTTTTGCTATATTTCTTTGAAAAGTTTTGATATACCTTATTTTATCCAAAACTTTGCCCTGATTTATTGGAGTGTTAATTTTATTAGCAATTTACACAGGTCGACAAAATGAACTTTTTTGTTTGTCACAGGGAAGCCAACAACTTTTCTAGGGTAATTTGGGTGCGCTGACTCCTAAAATTACCATAATTTTGCCCAATTAGCCTTTGTTTTAGAGATATTGTGAAAAAAAACCGTTTCGTTTGGGAAACAGCACTTTGAACTTTGAAAAAAGCGATTTTTGTTAAAAATAGTCTTTTTTCAGGAAATATCTTTATAAATGTGTATAATTGTTTTTTAGGTAAAATTGTACTTGTAGCTACATGATTAATGATCCTTAAAGTATTTGATTAAACAAATATATGTAAGAATTTGAACGTTTACTTATTGAAAAAAAAAACGATTTTTTGCAATATCTCAAAAACAAAGGCTTATTTAGCAAAACAATGGGTATTTACCCAAATTACCCTAGAAGAGTTGTTGGCTTGTCTGTTGCAAACAAAAAAGTTCATTATTAAACTTAAAATAATCTAAAAAATATGCTAAAATTTTGCGGCGTATTGTTACAAAATTTTAAAATATTTTATGTAGGAGTAATATTTTACACTAGTCGCTGATTTTTTCTTTTTAGGAGTTTAACTTGAAATCAAAATATTCTTTTTGAAAAGATACAATTAAAACAATTGATTTCATATAGCAAATTAACAATAATTTTTTGTATTTTATACTCTTGATAAATGATGATAAATTTAAGTGAAATTTTTATTTTTTAAAGAAATTGTAATGTTTTTACTTGAAATTGGTACCTAACAAATTAATAATATACTCTAGTTATTTAAATTATTTAATGAAAATTAGTAATAATAATTTTATGTAACCATAAAATTCAATTGATTAATATTTAAATAATTTCAGTTAAACCTCCGAGTTTTTAACCTGGCGATGCTAAGAAAATGAAACAAAAATGACGAAAATAACGGTACGTGAAAATTACTTTAAAATAAAGCCACTTTTATTTAAATAATAGTGTATTTCAAGCAACCAATCCTAATTTAACAAGCCCAAATTATTCTGTATTGTTGTTATTATAAAGATTTAGGCCAGAAAGATCCTGAAAAATTATGTGGAGCAGTCAATACAACGAATTTCCTTTACTATCGGGTGTTCCATAATGTTAAACGGTTTTAAACAAATATTACAAAAATTTTATTGATTCAAATAAACTTATTGAATTGAAATTTTTACATACAATAACATTATTTAGATGTACACTTTTGTACTTTTACGAAAAATTAAAAAAAAATATTGTTATCTCTGGTAAAAGGTGCTTTGGTGGCCATAAGTACTAAAAAAATTTTAGTTTAATAGTTTATCTTGAGGAAGATCAAAGGCTTTAAAGGAAAAAATCGCTTGTTAATTGTTTATAAAAATAGTAGTTTGGTTATAAAAAATCTTTCGATCAGGTTTAAGTTTTTAATGCTATAGGCTGTATAAATTTGATCTAAATCAAGTGGTTTTTAAAATATTGTGGCCACCGTATCCGAAAACGTATTTTTAAGACAAACACGTTGTTTAATTAAAAATAAAACAGAAAGGTTTAAAAGTTTGTGGATGCACTTTTAAGGTTTTAAAGTTTATATCTTTAAAACTGCACTCCCTGGCACAAAATTCCGCCACCCTAAAATTTTGGCAGTGTTTGATGTTTTATAACTTCTATTTTTCATCTGATTTTCATGATTTGTGTACCAGTTTGTAGATTAATTTATTTTAATTGTTATTTATTATTTTAATAATTTACTTTAGGCAATATTATACAGGGGTTGGTTTTTTTTTAAACTCAAACAGGTCCTACAAAAAATAAGATAATGATATGAGTCAAAAACAAAATGTTTGGAATACATCTAAGATTACCGCAAATTTTTTTTTAACAAAATTGTCCCACAGGGTTTTTTGAAGACAAAAACAAGATTTTATGTTACGCCTGTATAATATCGCCGAAACTAAAAATGTTAATTGATAAAATAATAAAAACAAACATAATAAATGAATCCACAAATTGGTAAAAAAAATCAAGCAAATCGGATAAAAAATTAAAACATCAAAATTAGCCAAAATTTTAGGGTAACTGAATTTTGTGCCGGTGAGATTATTTATAAAACTTCTAAATGCACCACCCCTTAAGACTAATTTGTCTAATTAATTGTTTTTGCAGCTGCAGTGCTAGCGAGTCAACAGGCCGCAGCAGTGACGGTGATAAATCCGTACCCAACGAAATGAGGTGGGGTTCGGGGCCCCAAAAACACCCCCCGAAAAAAGTTAAGTGACAGTGATTTTTTGAACAGTGACTTATGCATTCCATAGATAATGTATTGGTACTAATAACTAGTGTGCACAGCTAAATTAAAAAAATATATATAAAGAAAAACTGTTTTATTAATAATTAGACCACAGCTGATTACGCAAGCGCAGGAAAGTGTACATTTTATTATTATTATTATTATTGTTTCCCGTTCTTGATTGTATATAGTGTTTAAAAGTAACAAAAAAATTAATAGTTAATTATGTGGTAGACTGATATATTGACCTATTCTGTGTAGGTAAACTGTGTATTTTTTGACTATTTTCTCCTTTTTTGTTTATTAAGATTTATTATATGGAGTCAGGTTTTCTGTGCACCCAAACCAAGCATTGTTTTTGTCGTTTTTTGTACATATTATTACTATCTAAAACCGCCTTTATATTTCTTAGTGTTAACACAAATACTTAAAAAGTATTTATATCTGCTCTCGTTTATATTAATTAAATAATTTAAAAAAAAAATGAGTTTTATTTTAACCCATTGTGCAATACTATCTTGCAACGTTTAATCTTCCTCTAGTCTACATATACAAAATAAACTTAATCAAAACTTTCTTATACCAAACAATTATTTGGTTATTTTAAGGGTGTCAGAAAACCAAAACTGTGTATAAAAAATCGCCAATTTTAGATATAACTTTTTATTTTTACATTAAAAATGCTTCATTCCAGTTTTAGTGGGATGGTGTTTGTATTTAAAAAAAATATTTCTATTTACTTAAACGAATTTCAGTCTGTACATGTGTAGTTTTCTGTAAATATATAAAATCTATGATTTGTTCTCTAAATATGGTGTTTTGCAACTCTTTAATGGTGGTATTCTGCAATTTTAAACATAAATTTGATTTACATTAACCAAAACTTTAAATAAAACAATGGAATGGAATAAACGAATTAAAATACCGATTCAATAAAAAGATTTTTAATTTCATAAAATAACATTTTAAGTTGTGAAACACCTTGTAAATCTATAGAGATATAGAAAATTTGTTTTTGTCGATTTTTATATTTTTTAATATCTACGTACATACATAGTTATGTCATATCCAATAGATCGACTATTTAAACAATAGTTTTTTGTGATAACATTTAAAAATCTATTATTATTATTATTATTATTAATTTTTAAGTATCATGACAATGTTTCAAATCGCTTGAAAAATTATTTTGTTGATAATTATTAAATAATTGGTATGTTTATTAGAATATATTTACGTGTATTTATAATTTTTTTGTATCTATTTTTATATAGATTTTATTTAAAATGTGATAGTTAAGTGTTCAAAATTTTGAGAGTAATCTTTACATGCATAACAGATATTTGTGGAAATTTACCAAATGTATGTACAGACTTTGAAATGTAAAAGTTGCTTAATAAAAATTAATTGAACAAAAATGGTGTTTTATTTAATTGGTAAAAAACACGTTTGAAAGGTTCTCCAAAAAATGTTATTTTAATATATTAAAAATAGTATGGTATAAATCCTATCATCATAAAAGTAAAAGCAATAACATATGAAATAAATATAAGCCTCTCCAAAATATTGCCCCAATATTGGGACTCTGTATTTGCCGAATTATTATAGTTGAATCGTCATTCAGGATAAGAGGGGTGTCTTTTTTTAAGCAATATTTTAAAAAAACGATTAAAAATCCACATAGAAGAAGTGTATCTCTAGCTAAATCCACTCCAAAAAATGATATATTTACGAAAAAATATATGCAAAATTCAACTTTTTGTTTATTTTAGTACTTTTACCTTAAAAGCCAATCTATATTATAGTAACATGCAATTGATTTAAAATACTTTCTGAGGAATTCCAATTTAAATAGTTTTTTGTGTTTTTATTAATTACTAAAGTATTTTTGTTAAAATTTTAAATTTTACAGTGTAATGTCCCTGATAGCAATATGCTATTTTCTTAGGTTGACGCATAGAAAAACCTCTGTGGGTTGACGGTACTGTTTCTGTTATTGTGTTGTGTCCATATATGGGTATGTGTCAGATAACTCAGTAGGTACAAAACTAAAGTGATTTTACCCATTAACTAACATCAACTAACTAATTTAACACATTGAAATATCATCTTTAAAACCTTGCCATAAAAAAGTTATGGTGATTTTCAAATTTAGCAGGCCAATTTGCATTGAAAAATGGTTATTAACTCGTAATTTACGAGTCGTAAACCTGTGTTATTAGTGATTTATTAATTTCAAAATAACACCGGCGCATTCGCCATTTTTGACAATCCTACCCCGCTAAGCAAAACACTATTGTATTAACAGCTCTACTGAAAAATGTACATGTATTGCAGAAATCCTATGGTTTCTGAGGACTGCCATAGAAATTAGGGATTTCGAAAGACTGCCAGTAATGTTAAGTGATTGCCAAGGCATTTAATTTATAATTATAAAGATTTCCGGTGATAAATGGATTTCCTAAAATTTAACTGATCTCACTCAGTTTTAAAAAGGTTTTATAGACTTTTATAGGTTTACAGATTTACGGTAATTGCGATGGCAATCCCAAGGATTTCCATGACTGCCATTAAAAATAAATGAATTTCCTAAAATTTTGACTGATCTTACTCAGTTTTAAAAAGGTTTTATAGGCATTCATAGAGATTTACGGTAATTGCAATGGCAATCCCAGGGATTTCAATGACTGCCATTAAAAATAAATGGATTTACTAAAATTTTGACTGATCTCACAGTTTTAAATAGGTTTTATAGACTTTTATAGGCGTTCATAGAGATCCCAGGGATTTCCATGGCGGCAATTAAAAATAAATGGATTTCCTAAAATTTTAACTAATCTCATTCAGTTTTAAAAAGGTTTTATAGATTTTTACACACATCACAATAAAAAATACTACTTTTCATTAAAGACATATTTTAGAAAAGAGAAAAAAAATACTTTTGAAAAAAGTAAAAAAATATTTATTAAAAATATATCTAGTGCTCAATGGATATTAATTTAAGTGCTAATTCTAAAATGTTATTAATTAAAAAAACTTATGTTTGAATTGTTTTTTTTTGCAAGATCCAATCAGACTGAAGAAAAGGACAAATACGTGCTATTTTCCAATACTTTAAACAGTTTAATAATATTAAAAATTATTTTAAGAGGGGCAACTAAGACAGAGGAGCAATCTTTAACTAAAAAACTTGGTATCATGTCATTACCTGAGGTTAATTTATTAGGAGTTTTTTCCATTGAATTTAAAATATCCTTATCGTGAAAACATTTAATATTAACTAAAGGAAGATTAGGCGAAATGTTATTGTTAAAATTAATATTATTTGATGTAAATACAATTTTAAAATAATCTGCAAAACCATTTACAAGGTGAGCTTAGTATTATCATTTAAATGAATTTGGCTTGGAATTCTTGGAAAGCAATATTTCTTCATCCTGGGGTGATATTTTAATGCCATCACCACATTTTTGATGAAAGTCAATGAAATACTTCTTAAAAACAAATGGTGCTTCGCAACAAGCTAATTTTGCAACAATTTATCGTATTTGTTTTTACCTTATTACATAGAAAATTAATATTTTTTCCTAAAAAAGGCATTTTAATCAAAGCAAGAATTACTTAGTTTTGTTGTTAAAAATGCTTAGCTCAAATGATTTAAAAAACATATCCATATAATATATATTATAACTATACATATATAGTTTAATTACTCCATATTAATTTTAAATTCATTAATTTTAATTAAAATTAAGCAAAATGGATGAAAATATCAAAACAAGTTAAATAGGCATTTAAACTTCAAGGTAAGGACTAAATATACTGTTAATTTCATATTTCTATATTGAAGTCAACAATGCGACTTTTTAATATTTCAATATTTTTTCATTTTAAAGCTACTGTATAAGCTTCTAAGATGAAAATAACAAAACAAATCTACCAGACATTTGAACATCAAGGTAGGGATTAATTATCCTGTAAATTTCATAATTCTATTTGGAAGTCAACATGCTTATATAACGGCCTAAATAATGCGATTTTCTAGAATTTCAAAATTTCAAGCAATTTTTTTGTTTGGAAACCGTATGCCAAACGGGCCAATTGTAAGTTTTATTTTGTCTTTGGTTTGTAAACTTTATACATATAAAAATTAGCTGTTTATATTAAACAGCCGAGACATGGGACTCATTTAAACAACACGAAAAATTAGTAAATTACACGTTTTTAAGCACCGTGTAATTATTTAGAAATATTGATTGAGTGAATTTATATTTTTTTATAAAAACTGATATTTTATAATAAAAATGACGTTTTTAAAAAGTTTTAATTCGAATAGGCCGGATTTGACACATGCGAAAAATTAAATAAGGGTGAATTTTGTCCTTTGGGACCCTAATGAATATTTCTATAAAATTTGAGCAAAATTCAAGATGGTCGAGCTACGAGTTTCGGCGTTTTCATATGGATTGACTCATTATTAAAAGCATTGATTAAGAAAGTCTCCACTCAACGGTAAAATACCATTATATTATATATTATAATATTATGTTGCCATGAATTAGTAGTTGTATTTTGTTGTTTAAAATGCAGTTGTCGGCGTTTTTTAGAGAACTCAAATAAATATATATATAAACATTCAATTTTCTTAGTTTCTTTAAGAAACTTTCTTGACCCATCACTGGTAATATTCATAAGAATATAAGAAAAAATTGAACCTACACCTCGCCAAAGTTTTTTGTTTCGAATGCGTTCCACCAACTTCAAATACCGACAGACAGCTGTTTCGACCTTTATTGGGTCTCATCAGTGTCGGGCAACTTGGTGTAGTGGAACACAATCAAAACAAATTACTCCCTCAGCTTATATGCTCGGTTGTTAAGTCAACAGAGGCGAGATGTAAGAACATCAGGTGATCCACACCGTCAAACGACGTGGCCTTTGCTGCAATCGGTACATACTATGCAACCGGGACTGCACACAGCAATTGTATCACAGATACTAATATGGCCTAAAGGAATCTAGAATTAACCCAAACGGGCTAAACATTAAGGTAAACATTCAATTTTCTTAGTTTCTTTAAGAAACTTTCTTGACCCATCACTGGTAATATTCATAAGAATATAAGAAAAAATTGAACCTACACCTCGCCTGTCTGTCGGTATTTGAAGTTGGTGGAACGCATTCGAAACAAAAAACTTTGGCGAGGTGTAGGTTCAATTTTTTCTTATATTCTTATGAATATTACCAGTGATGGGTCAAGAAAGTTTCTTAAAGAAACTAAGAAAATTGAATGTTTACCTTAATGTTTAGCCCGTTTGGGTTAATTCTAGATTCCTTTAGGCCATATTAGTATCTGTAATACAATTGCTGTGTGCAGTCCCGGTTGCATAGTATGTACCGATTGCAGCAAAGGCCACGTCGTTTGACGGTGTGGATCACCTGATGTTCTTAAATATATATATATATATATATATAATAATAATAATAATTTATTTATTGCCCAACAGTTTTCACAATAAAGGACATTCAAATAACAAAATTTCAGTAGATACAAAAACAATTAGTAATATACATAAAATAAATAATAAAATAAATATACTTAAATATATAAAGTGGTGTTTAAAAAACGGACAAAAAAACCGCAAATATATAATAAAAAAGAAAATTATTGATAAATATAATAATTAAATGGTTAAAAACATTGTAGTATACTCCTCAGACTAGAAAAATTAATATCACAAAGACTTGCTACTTTATTAAAAGTTAGGGACATTTTATATATCGGCGACCTTACTAACATGTTGGTACGTGCCCTTGGACACTTAAATACTAATGTTTGCCTATTATTAGGTCTTGGTACATAAAAATTTAACTGTCCCAGTAGGTCACTGCAGTCTATAACATTATGAATTAATTTAAATAAAAAGGTTATGCAGATTTTATCCCTTCTTACACTTAAAGAATTAAAATTAAAGGTATCAAGCAGTACCAAATGATCAAAACCCTGAGGGGGATATACTCCAAACGTTTTGTAACTTAAAAATTTTAGAAATTTACGTTGCACTGATTCAATTGATTGAATGTGGCACAGGTAAATTGGCGACCAAACAATCGAGGCGTACTCCAACTTGCTGCGGACCAATGCATGAAACAACAGCTCAAGGCTCTCAGGTTTAAAAAAGGTTTTGCAATTTCGGATTATAAATCCTAATGTTTTATATGCTGATTTTG